TTGTATGAATTAGAAACTCAAATTGCCAATATTGACATATAGAATATAAAATAAGAGCCTCATATCTTTTCAATTTGCTAAGATATTGCTCACGTAATAAATCAAACAGTGGCAACCCCACTTCTTTCCATTTTTGGAAATGCTCCCTTATATACAAATTGGCAATTTCACAAATTGCCAATAAATCCATCTGATATTTTATATCATTTATAACGAAAAGAAAGACAAAGTTTTAATCTATCGAATGACATATGCGGTCTTCAAGAAATTAATGTAGCGTTTTGGAACACTTTCGTTAACCATCCTCCAAGAAAAAGAACATCACGTATAATAGTTAAGCGTACTGTCACGTTAGTATAGCCTATAAAATGTGTAAAGTTTAGTATACTCTAACCCCTTATAGTAATGGTACACGACGAGACACATTTGGCATGTAATGCTGTTTGAATACAAGAAGGGAAACAACGACTCTGTAGCCACAAAATATCAAAGAAGTTTATGGAAATGTTTGGAACATTTGTAAGTGTCAACAATGGTTCAGCAAATTTCGTTCAGGTGACTTTAGCCTTAAAAACTGTAATGGAAGGGGCCGACACGTTGGAATTGATATTGATGTTCTGAAGATGCTTGTTGAGTCTAACCCAAGGCAACACACTTGTTAAATGGCCCTGAAATTGCATGTATATCATGAAACAATACGCAAACATCTAAGGAATATGGGAAAAATCCATAAAGAAGGTGTTTGGAAACGATGATCATCGGAAAGTTCATGAGGCACCCATGTGACTTACTGATTTGCGTATTAAAATTGAGTTAAGATAACACACTCAATCTTCTGTATATTCAAAGCTGAATTTCACAGGTACATTTCTCATATGGAATGGATAAGCCTACGTATATGTTCTTTATCATATAGTAACTTTTAATTTAATGGGAAGAATATTACAGGATTTCTACTTATCACTTCTTCAGATTATTAGAAAACTTTATTTCACCAGTAACTTGAATTCCAGTGGTATATCCACCATTTATGGAAAAAGCAAGTGAATTAAACTTACCTGAAACCTGTTTATCTGGCAGTGGTGGTATAGGAATTGGAGTGAATTTAGCTTCCAACCGTTCATGAAGCCAGTCAAAATGCTTGTATCTCCTACTAACTTGTATGTTGTTAAACTGCCAATCAAACAAACATATAAGTAAATTCAAGGAAACTATTTAAAAGTAAGAAAATATGAATTCTCCTTCTTATCTCTCTATCTATATATATATATAGTACAGTAATGGAAACATTAAAATCTAACATTTCATTCTGAGTTATTAAGGTGTACAAAAAATGTAGATGTAAGGACAGATTAACTACCAACTGATTATAACTGATGCATTCGACTGGATTCCCTACAAGTAAACATCCTGGATGATGCAGTTTGTTATATGCATTAGAAAAGAAAC